TGCAGAAATACAGTTAAAATACAATCTTGAAGGCTTCTCAAGAGCACTGGAGGAGCTGGGGTGTTGCTGTGGGCTCAGGGGTCTGGGAGGTTGGTCCTTTTGAGGGGGGTTGGCCGAGTTGCCTCCTTGCCCCACACACTTCCAGAGGGAAGCTGATACAAACCACAGCAGCAGTGTGATGTCCAAGGAATGCTGCTGAAATGGAGGAGATTCTTTTTCTCAAATAGTGCCAGAGAAGAGCTTAAAATTGGCCTGTCCTATTAAGTAAAAATAACTGATTTCCCTTGAGCCATCTTCAGCCCCTTTCTCCTTTGATGTTCACACTGTCCTTCCAGCCTTTCTCGTATTACTGTTATCTCCTGACATGTCATTTCCTCCCCTTTCTCCCTCTTTTCTTTACCCCCTTTTCAGTTCAGTCTCTTTTCTCCCTCTTTTCTTGAACAGTGACTTGAAATCTCTTTTGTACCTCATTTTTTTTTCTGCTCTCTGTGCCCTCTCTACCCTCATCCTGCCTCTGGGTTCATGCAGCTTTTGCTTCCTCTTCCACGAGTGTTTTCTGTTGTTCTTTACTTTTAGGACAGCCATGTCTCTTCCTTTATCTTCCAGCAGCTGTTTTCCTAGGTCCTGACCTTTATATGGAAATCTCCCTATATATTTTTTTTATTTCTGATTTCATGGAATTCTTCCATTTCTGCTCAGCTGAGGCCAGGCCAGAGGGAAATCAGTCCCTTGGCCTTGGAGATCTGGAGCACAGTTTGCACGGCCTTAACTTGGAAAAGCATTTTGGTGTGGGGAGGAGAACTGTGGGAACGATGTACAGCATCTGCATGTCAGGCTGGGATGTTGTTGCCAGGTCCTGCAGCCAAGAACAGGGTGGGTGAAGGGGTGAACTCGAGGAGAAGGGCAGCAGAAAGGGTGCCAGGAAGGTGAAGGTTACATGAGGCTGGATGAAGGGAGAAGTGGAAGCCGTTGTGGCAGAGAGAGTAGGGTGGCTGATGTTGGAAGAAGAGACTCATGAGCTGGATTTAACACCTAAAGAAAAAATGGAGAATGTCTTTCAAATTCCTCTTAAGCAGTTAAGAAGGTGAAGTTTGTGTTATTTCTGGGTGAATGGGAGCTTTGATGCTCCTTTAGTGCTCCTCCTCTGTTGGAGGCCGTGCTCTGCCTTCCCCCCTGCTGCTGTTGCTCAAGCCTTATAACACACAATTCATGTTTAAAAATACTGGCTACAGAACAGCTCACAAGTAATGTACTTCTTTGGTGTGTACCCAGCTAGACTCTCCAAAGCATTTTAGGAAGAGATAATGATTGGAAGTCCAGTTGCATCATACAGGTGTGAATTATTGGGAAGATCCCTTCAAGCTTATTTAAGAAATTATCCAAGTTTGTAACTTCTGGCTTTGACAGTTAATAATATAAGCAACATCATGCCTTGATTTCTCAGTAGAGAGTCACTTGTTGAAACTGCATTCTCAGCCCTTACTAAAATGACATGAGCAGATCTTTTGAACAGTTTTTCTTGATCTAGGTGTTGCTTTTCCCATCCTTTGTTGTAATGTACTTCTCTTAGGTTAGGGTTGCTTCAAGGAGCTGTGTACTAAGTGTTTGAAATCCAGTGATTTAAGTTGAATCAAACTTCAGAGCAAGGAGTTTTTCAGCATCCAACTTTGTAAACGTCATTTAACAAACCTGACATAAAGGTTTAAAAGTTTTGGAAGTCCCATTTAGCCTTTATAGTGTTCCGTGCTACGTGTTGACAAAGTTCCCATGGAAATTATGATTAGAAAAATTATGCCTTAAATTGTATCAGACAAACTAAATGTTTACTGGTGGCAACATCCAGGCATGCCCCTACTTATGGAAGTGCATGTTGTTCCCTAGTGATTTCATTTATTGTAACACAGTTTCTAGCTAAAATTACATGTTTCATTCGGGGATTTTGTTTATGATGAGAGATGGTTGGAACTTTTTCAAGCAGTTTTTTAAAGCCAGGTAGTTTGATTTATGGAAAACGAAGGTTTTATTGAATTCACATGTTTTTCACTGAAAATTTTATTTCCAGGCCATAGAAATTCTTGTTTTTATATCTTGGATATACTTCTTGGCTTGTCCAGCTCAGCAAAAGTAGGGGAGAGTAAGAACACCCCAGAATTACAGCGAGCGTGTGGAGTGGTCATTTCAGGTGTAGAGCAGGGTCTATAGACATGGTCTCCTGTATCTTAGGAAAGAAACCTAGGCATTGGGGATGCCAATCCATCTCTCTTGCTGGATCCTTGAGCAATAAATAAAGTATATAACATGAAATAATTGGATAGAGACCTTCCCCAGAGCACTAGTGGCCTGGTGCTGAAGGTGTTCATCTAATGCAGGGGAGAAAGAACAGGGTTTGAATCCGTTAGGGATGAGCCCATCCACACCAACCCCTTGGTTGTTCTCAAGTCTCTTTCCCCATTAACCCTTGTCTCTTTCCCAAGGGTGGAACACGAAAACATTTTTGAAACCTTGGAAGGTTTTACAGGATGAGAAAACGGTTTCCCACCCAGCTCTGGTTGTGTAAGTGAGGAGCTGGATTTGTAGCACCAGCCCTGGCTTTTGGCAGTCCTGCTTTGATTTGGAGATGGAGAAAATGTCACAGAGAATAAATAACGTCAAGATGAAATTCTGCCACAGTTGCATCTCTGAGAACATTGAAATGCCTCCCCCTTTGGTTGCCTTTCCAAAATCTTCACTGCTTGCTGGTTTAGCTTCATATCCAGCTATTGAGGATTGCATTTGTCCTCCTGTTCAAGGTTTAATCAATACAGCAGCAAATCCAGCACAAGAAGGAAAGATGGGGAGAGGCTTTTCACCAGAGAGTGTAGTGATAGGATGGTTTTAAACTGAAAGAGGGTAGATTTGGGTTAGACATCAGGAAGAAATTCTTCACCATGAGGGTAGGAAGGCCCTGGCCCAGGTTGCCCAGGGAAGCTGTGGCTGCCCCATCCCTGGCAGTGTTGAAGGGCAGGTTGGATGGGGCTTGGAGCAGCCTGGGCTGGTGGGAGGTGTCTCTGCTCATAGCAGGGAGGTTAGAATCTGATGATCTTTAAGGTCCCTTCCAACCCAAACCATTCTATGATTCTATGACAGAAGGATGTACATGAAGGGTCTTCACTTAAGTGAGTTGTAACTGTATGTGTGTCCCAGTATCCAGCAGTGACCATTCCCTTCATGGACACAAGGTTTGTTCTATTTCCACAGTGTGGCTTTATAGATTCCTGGAAGTTCATTGTCTTTCCTAAACAGGAGACTTTATTTCTGTGTCTGCACACCAATTGTGTAGGAAATAGGAGCTCTTTGCACAGCAGTTTTGTTTCTGTTACTGGGAACCTGCTGTCAAGGGACAACCACTTAAGAATCCACAAGTTATAATCCCCAAATAAACTGCATTGTTGAAAAGAAATCACTACCTTCATTATTACTTTACCCAGTGCTGTTCTCTAAGGCAAAACATGATATTTTAACTAGCTGGCAGGAAAAATTCTGTTAGGAATTCAGAGGTATCCATTAAAACTTAAGTAGATGCATCAGGGCTTGATTCTTGAAATACCAGCTGACCTTTCTCTTCATTGCATCACACCTCCTTTTGACTGTGAAAGGAAACCTGCACTACACCCCCTTGGTAATTTAATGTATTTCTATTTTAAAATGACAAGCCAGCAGTGGGTGAGGACACCACATCTTCCTGCTCCCATTTCTGGTACCATCCTTGACAGCAGCAGAGCCCAGAGCCTGGATATGCCACCCCATCCCCTGGAGCTGCTGCCACCTCAGGGCTGGTCACTGCTGGGGAAGAGCCTAAAAGCCTGAGCCAGAGCCACCAACCCCCACCACGACTCCTCTGAGCTCACACCTCCAGGGAGGCCCCAGGAATCTGCTGTGCACAGTGTCCTCAGTGACATTGTCCTTCCCCAGTTCAGAAATGGGGGGTTATTTCACAATATTTGTATTCTCTGCTACAAAGGGCAGTGGTGGGTTTGGTAGAAAACTGATCCCACCTGCCTTGCCAGGATATTTTTAGATACTTTCAGTGGCATTTGAAAGGAAAACACAGTGAGTGGGAGCTGGGGAAAAGCTTTTTGACCTGGCAGAGGCTCACACCAAATGGCTGGGTGATGGCACGAGGTGCTGGTGCCAGTGAGGGAGCAGGAGCTGGTGGTTGGAGTGGAGCTGGATCAGCCTGGCAACTGCTCCCAGCAGAGAGAGATTTTGTGGATCATTTTTTTTTATATTGCAAAAGGAAAACAAGGAACTTGGCAGATTGAATGGTGAAAATATCCCTGGTTTTCTGCTTATTTTAATAGATGTGCAGAATTTAGTGGGTTCTGGCAAAGTTTGAAAGGCTGGGAAAATCAGGTGACCTGGGAAAAGAGGAAGGTTTTTCTTTTTTAATTGAATTGTTTTTGTGAATGAAGAGCAGGATCATGGTGGGTGAGTCATGTGTGGTGAGTCTGACATTCCCTGACATTTCCCCCATTCACGGGAACCTGTTGTTTGCAGATGCCACCTTGCTGTAAGGTGCTCAGCTGGTGCTCTGTGTGCCTCTGCAGAGCTTGACATTTGAAAACAGCAGATGAAGAATAAGTTCAAAGAAACAATCACAAGTTATTACTGACGCCAGGTCCTTCAACAGAGCTCGGAGCACAATCCTGTCGCTCCCTGCTCTGCGCAGGGCCTCCGATCTGTCAGTTCCTGTCACTGTCCTTCTCTGTGAGCAGCTACAGCTTAATTACATTTATTCCTCAAGTGGCAGGTCCAGTCATTTTTCAGGAGCAGTGCCTGTTTTTACCAACTGATTCATCTGGATCCTTGTCACAGGTGGTTAACACTTGGTGCTCTTAAAGACTTCGCCTGCCGCATGACGTCGAACTCCCCCAACAAAACCCGCTGCTTGGAACAACTTGCCCGACTCCATCTGATGAAGATGCTTTTTGATTTGATCTTGTTCTTCTCCTCTCGCCCAGGTTGTGGCTTATCACTACTGCCAGGCTGACAATGCCTATACCTGCCTGGTGCCCGAGTTCGTGCACAACGTGGCCGCCCTGCTGTGCCGCTCGCCCCAGTTCGTGGCCTATCGGGAGCAGCTGCTGCGGGAGCCGCACCTGCAGAGCCTGCTGAGCCTGCGCTCCTGCGTGCAGGACCCCATGGCCTCCTTCCGCAGGGGGGTCCTGGAGCCCCTGGAAAACCTGCACAAAGGTATGGAAATGGGGCCTCCCTACCTCCTTTCGTGATTCTTTTTGAAAACGTTGCTGGGTTGTGTCTGGGCTTTCAAGCGAAGTGGTTGGCTTGTCCTTCTGTGGCACGTGCAGCGATAGGAGAAGGGGTGATGGCCTTAAACTGGAAGGAGGGAGATTTAGGTTGGACACTTAGATGAGACATTAGGAGGAAATTCTTCACTATGAAGGTGGTGAGGCACTGTACCAGGTTGCCAGGGAAGCTGTAGCTGCCCCACCCCTGGAAGTGTTGAAGGGCAGCAACCCTTGGAGCAACCTGGGCGGGTGGGAGGTGTCGCTGCCCATGCAGGGGGGTTGGATCCAGATGATCCTTAAAGACAGGAGAAGCTGACCATATCCCCTTGTGCTTGTTTGGAAGCAAGGGGTTAACCTCCCCAGTCTTGCTGACCTGACTTCAGGCCATAAATGAGATGCTGATGTCATCTGCCTTTGGCCTTCTCTTTTCTTGCTTCCCCATCCCAAACGTGGCCTTGGAGTTCCGAAGGTGAAAACAAGCAGCAGTTTCCCTGTACAGCTCTGCTTAAAGCAGTGTGTTCTGCTTTATTTGTTTAGGGGGTGCATGTTGTTCCCTTTCTCCCTCATTACTTTACATGTCATCAAGAATTTGAAGTTTTCACCAAAAGATCTGGTACCATAAAACTCTGTAGACACCCTGTGTAAAGCTTCCAGGGGAGCTGGTAACAAGTCTGATCCTGAATATGGATTTCAGAGCTTTTTCTAACACAGCATTGGTTTTGTCTCCTTTTCTTTCCTCTGCAAGATACAACTAATTAGCTGTGACAGTCGCTAAATTTAAGCTCTTTTCTCGTTGCCATGAAAACTATCTGAGCCTCCCAGGGTTCAGGACTCTGTTGTCCTGCAAAAAGGTGTTTATTACAATGTTGTGCTGCAAGTTGGCTGCAAACAGTTCAGATAATTTTCTGTAACCACCTGATGTAGCACAGTTGTAGGAGCCAAGGTGAAGGAGATGCAGCTTCCACCAAACTCAAAGCCCTGTTGATCAAATCAATTCTTCAAAACGCCACATCCAGGCTCTGAGCAGCAACATCTGGGTCCAGCACACCAGGCACAAAGCACAGGCAGAGCCAGCACAGCTCCACAGCAGTTGATTCTCCTGGCATGGAGAAATGTCACTGTAGGAGGAGCATGGCTACTCTTTCCTACCAACAGTCTTGGCAAAAAAAAAAACCCAAAATACATTTAGGAACCACTGCTTGAAGAGAAAATAATGTGTGGTGATTACAGTAACTCCTTGGGAGGTATTTCAGCTCTTGAGTTCAGAGCATTTCAGAGGTTGCTTGTTATTCTGTGCCAAGCAGGTTGACGCCTCCTGTGGTCCTAAGTTCTGAGGGGTGGGAAAATTTTATATAAAAGCTTTTTTTTCCCCTCTTGAGCTCTGCACTCAACACAGCTCCAGTGGAGCCAATGAGCAGGACTGGGGTCTTTCAGCCTTGCTGATCAAGAGTGCTGGCAAGCTAATTTGCACCAAGTGTTTTGTAACAGAATGAACAGTGTCTGGAAATTGGTTTTAAAATATATAACATTTAAGACTCTGTAAATATATCAGCAGGTCTTTTACAAGGTGGTGTTGAAGCTTCAGTGCTGCCGGGATGAAATTATTGCACAGCTGTTAATGGTGAATGTCACTGAGAAAGTCAGAGTCACCTTTCTCACATATATATATTTTTAATCTCAAGAAATCTAGATATTATATAGGAGAACAAAGTTCTGATTCTTTCCCCACTCTCTGCCTTCTCTCTCCCTCAGGCTTTATGAGAAACACGAGATGTGGGTATAAAACTCAGGCACTGTATTCACTCCAAGGTTTCAGGGAGTCATAAACTGTATTTTCTAGTGTACCCAATAATCTCCCTGTGAAGTTAACTGAAAACGGATCTATTATAATTTTCATACCAAATACCTGGGGTTTGGATGGATATTAACAGGATGGTAGGAAAGAAATGCAACTTGGTAATGTAAGGCAAGGACAAGATGGGATTTTAATGCTCAGCAATACCAAGCACAAGGTGTTTTCTCCCTGGATCACCCCAGAGGTGGCTCATGTCATCCAGGAACATTTTGTGCTGGCTTTTTATAGAAAAGTTGCAATTTAAAGTCAAAGGGGAAAGCTAAGCTGCTGTTGGGAATGCTGAGCTTTTGGATAGTAGGATGTACCCATAGTGCATTTCAAAGGAGAACAAATTATCCAGACCAGAACCTGTAGCACATGTTAATAGCAAATTCCAACAACAGACTCCTGTTCCCACCTGATTTTGAGTTTAGGCAGCAAGGTTACCTTTGAGAAGATCCCACTTGAGCTTAAGATGAAGGTCCAAAAGAAGCTGTACTCAGTTCTCAGTGTCTGATACAGGAACTTTATTGTCTGGGTCACTTTGGGTGCTGTGTTCCCCAGCAGCACAAAAATCCCTGTTTAAAAAGCCTGTGGTTTGCTTTTTGTAGGATCTTTTCTGTTCCCCCCCAACTCATCTGTAATAGAGGTTTGGTTACAGACCTGTGGTCAGACTCTAGGATATTGAAGTTGTTTTGCACAGTGTCTGTTGAAGAGAAGATGTAACCTTGTGTTGAGTTCCCTTCCCCACACCTGTAGATTGATGGTTTTCTCTTCTCACATTTTGCCTATGAATCAGGTTTCAAACACTTGCCCAGACCTCAGCTGATCAACAAGCCAGAACCTAAAGTGCAGACACCAAAACTGGAAGAATCTAGAGGTGTTGGGGAGGTGAATTTATTGGGGAACCTTCATTTAGCAGTTGCAGAAATCAGGGCAAACTAACATCAGTGTGAGAGTTTCCTACAAAAAACATAGAGAACCACAAATAATATACTTATTAAAACCCATCAGAACCTGATTCACATCCAAAACTGTTGGACTTTGTGGAAGAAGTAATTTTTTAAAAGATTAGCAGCTATTTGATCTGTGAGGTGTCACAGTTGTGTCTGTCATAACTAAAATACATATAAACATTGAAATTGTGTACGTGTGGGACTGCCTAATATGCAGTTAATGTATCATAACAAAGGTGCTGCTACTGTGCCTTTTTTTATTCTCCAGCAAAATCTGATGATGCTTGAAAATGACTTGGCAGTAATTGTAGTCTCATGTCCTTTCCCCCTTCTCTCAGAGAGGAAGATCCCTGATGAAGATTTCATCATATTAATTGATGGTTTAAATGAGGCTGAATTTCACAAGCCCGATTATGGAGACACCATAGTATCATTCCTGAGCAAAATGATTGGAAAATTCCCTTCCTGGCTGAAGCTGGTTGTGACAGTCAGGACAAGTCTACAGGTATGCTGAGACCAAGAACTGTGACAAACTGTGTCATTCTTATGATGGGCTTTGGGAAGGTCTTAGTCAAGACCCTTTATTTCAGGTTATCAGTTTGGCTTTTTTGTACTTGGATTTACATTCATGTCCCCACGTTCATTGTACAGGGTTGAAAGGATCTCATCCAGCGTCACTTATTCAGGTCAATAAATGTTCAACCTCAAGTAGTTCAGTTCATTTTGCAGTGACATCTCATGTGCCAAGAGGCTCCTTCCTCACCCTCCCTGCTGGGAGGGCAGGGCCTGATGTCTGCCAGCCTGTTCTGCCCCATGTGGAAGAGGGAAGGACTGTCTGTCCTCATCCCCCTGTGGGACCCAGAGGGATTGTTTCAGCCTGGAGGAGTCCATGCTGGGCCAGGATGTTGTTCAGCTCAGTGAAGAATATCTTGAGCAGGTGCTGAAGCTCTGAGCTGAATGTTGTTCTGAAGTATTTTGATGTTAGTTTGCAGCTGGGCAGGTTTTAGCTTCAGCCTGTCCTTGGCTACTGCTCACCACTCTCTTGGCATGAGGAGGACACTGACCTTAGTTTTTTGGCTCCACTGCTCGTCTGAAAGCAGCAAGCTGGGAAGCAAACACAGTGACCCAGTTTGGGCAGATCTGCTCCCTCAACTGTTTCACAGTGGGGTTTGTTGATGTGCAGCATCACTTGTGGGAACATCCACATGGAGCCTTGGAGACAGGAGCCCAGGGGAGATGGATATGGAGGGACAAGCCAAGCTGGGAACCAGCTCAGAGCCCTGCTGGACTGCACCAGCTGCTCTGGGCAGAAGGACATGTCTGCAGCTCTCTCCATTTCTCATGTTTTCATTATTAGCTGGTTTTTCATCAGCACAAGGCTGCACAGCTCATTTTTACCGAGCTCTGTGAAGCAGTTTTATTGAGATTTGCTGCTGTTTACTGAGATCCACAGGTTGATTTACTGTGGTCCTCCTGGCAGAAGCTATGTGCTGGTTCCAGCACCATCAGGACTGCTTTGTAGCTGGGAACAGCAGCTGCTACCCAAGGCACCAGAGAGCACAGGGGCTGCTTTGTACTGCAGCTCCTTTTTTCGCTCAGTAACAGAGTAGATTCAACATCATTTGGAAGAATCTTTTTGTAATTGTAGGTAAATTGCATCCCTCTGCCTCTAATTTTTCATTTAATTAGGGCGGTGGCAGCCCCGTGGTCTCCACTGCAGGCTTCAGCTTGGCACCCTGCTCTCCCTCTTGATTTTTTTTCCTGGAGAATTGATGGCTTCTGCAGCCACCCTGTGCTGCTCCCCTGCGTCAGCTCCCCCCTCGCAGCGCCCGGAGCTCGTGACGTAGGAGTTCTGGGAAAGGCCTTTGATGATCTTTGCTTTTTGTTGCATGAGCATCAGCAGTGAGCTCAGCAGAGGGGAGAGGATCCCTGGCCACCCCGTCCTGCAGCAGACGGATGGATTTGTTTTGCACTGGGGGAGATTTGCTGGTTTCTGTCCTGACGTTTCCCTGCATTTTTCCCCCTTGGCAGCAGTTGTGTGATGGGGGATCACACCCCTGGGGAGTCCTGAGCTTGGCTTCAGCCAAATTCCTTCAGGCCCCAGAGGTTGCTCACAGCTCATTCCCTCTGACCTGACAGCAGAAGGGATGGCAGGTTGCTGTGTGGGTGGGGTGGGAATAACAAGGGCTCTGTGTGTATTTTCCAGCCCTTCCTGTGGATGCAGTATCAGGATCTGTGTCCTTCATTTTAATTTGTCACATTTCACACACAATCTACTTGATTATAGATGAGATTGGCAGGTCCTGAGGGCACAAACTGCCACCTTGTGTGCTTGCCCTGATGGAAGAGGTCTTAAAGGAGTCTCAAAGGCGCTATTGTAACTCGAATTAAGTTTACTTAATGAATAATAAACACTGCCAGCATGAGTGCCCTTATTTTCTTTCTTTCTTTGTAGGAAATAATTAAGCTGTTGCCCTTCCATAGAATATTTTTGGATAGACTGGAAGAGAATGAAGCCATAGACCAGGACCTGCAGGCCTACATCCTTCATCGGATACACAGCAGCTCGGAGATCCAGAACAACATCTCCCTTAACGGCAAAATGGACAACACGACGTTTGGCAAACTCAGTTCTCACCTCAAGACCTTGAGCCAAGGGTCCTACCTGTACCTGAAACTCACTTTTGATCTCATAGAGAAAGGATACCTAGTACTGAAAAGCTCCAGCTACAAAGTAGTCCCAGTGTCCCTGTCAGAAGTTTACCTGTTGCAGTGCAATATGAAGTTCCCAACGCAGTCTTCCTTTGATCGGGTTATGCCTCTCTTGAATGTGGCAGTGGCATCTCTGCATCCTTTAACAGATGAACATATTTTTCAGGCCATTAATGCAGGTAACATTGAGGGCACTTTGGAGTGGGAGGACTTTCAGCAGAGGATGGAGAACCTTTCTATGTTTCTTATCAAACGTAGAGACATGACGCGAATGTTTGTTCATCCTTCTTTCCGAGAGTGGCTTATTTGGAGAGAAGAAGGTGAAAAGACCAAGTTTCTTTGTGATCCTAGGTAAGCAAATGCTCTGAGAAGCCACAGTTTACAAATGTGTTCACCTTGTACTATTATCTGAATCATCTCATTTTGTGAGGTTGCATGTGGATGTGTTTCACCTGGCTGGGCTCTGTCTACATTAAGTCTGTACTAGTCACCTGAGATCTTTGTGTTGTTCCTGGAAAGAAATAAGCACCCCTGGGTACTCAACTGGCCTGGCAAACATCATGGTCATCTTTAGGATGAGATCAGCTTCTCCTCAGAAGGCCCCAGCTTGACTTGCTCCCACCCAGGCATCAACCAGGGGTGTTGGTGTTTCATGCCAGCTCAGTCAGGAGAAGAGGAATGATCCTCCCTTTCTCCAAAGGAACTGAAGCCACGTGGAGCAGAGAATAAGGAGATGAGGGATGAAGAGTGTGGATGTAGCTTTTGCAGCTGGCTTCTTTTTGAAGCTGTGTTCCTTATAGTCCTACTACGTGTCTTTTTGAAAGCAAAATAAGGAACAGAATCAGGGTTTAGCAGTTTTGGACTGTAAATGCACCCATAATCTCTGTCCTGATAACTGCTGAGTTCCTGGCTTAGCTCACAGGGAACAGAATTTAATCATGGTTAGATTTATATTCCCTAAACCCAGTGATCACTATTAACAACGTTATCTTTGTTTCACTGAAGAGGGGAAACAGACACTCCTGTCTGTCATTCTAGTAGTCTATCTCAAAAGCTTTGCTCCATTTGGCCTGCCTATTTCTTAAAATATGATTATAAAAAACAGGGGAACACCTGGATTCAAGGATACGTCAGTGCATCTCCCAGGGCCTGTGGTCAGTCTGAAGGAAATAGGATGGTATCTGCTGGGACTGAGGAGCCACCTGGCAGATGACAGCAGCTGTGGCTCTTAGCAGTGTCAGAGTCATTTACCACTTTACATTTTGTGGTAAACAGGCTGCAGTAGAAAAATAGTCCATAGCTCCTCCCAATGGGCACCTTGCCTCTTGTAGAAGGTTCTGCACAACTGTCGTGTCGAGCCAACCCTTTGTGAAGCATCTCCCAGCAGCAGGTGTCTCCACATCATCAGTGGTTGTTACTTAATGACTCTGAGGAAGGATGTTAAGTGCTTGTCACTCTGCAGTGCCTTTCCAGCCCATTTGCAATGCTTCTGCGCTCTCCCTCCCAGTTGCTACTGGTTTTGTCTGGCCCCTGTGATTTTGACTGGTCTGGCTGGAAGGGCTGTGCTCAGCTGGGTGAGGGGACAGCAGCCAGAGGCCCAGCAATTATCATTAATTACACTTGCCATAATGAACCGGAGTGAGAGCAGCTCTGAAAACTCACTGCTTTCCTTCATTAGCATGAGAAGAAAACTGAGGTGCAGGGTCCTGATGTGGTGGGTGGGGCACCCATGGGTGAGAGCTGCTGTGTGTGGTAGCAGTGCCTGCAGGTGGGCAATGCAGGGGCTTTGTTCCTCTGGCTCCAGAAATGCTCCTGTTCCTTCTCACAGTGATGGGTAAGGTGGTTCCCAGCACCAAATCCAGAGGGAAATTCAAACATGCTGCTTTTTAGGTGGTTTTGCACTGGTACCAGGTGTGCAGCCAGGTGGGATTTTAGCAGGAGGGAACAAAGGAACCCCTGTTTGCTCAGCAAGCTCCTGGTGATGTGATAGGTCCCTGCTCAGGCTTTGGGTTTGAATGAGCTAGGAAGCTCCTTACCCCTCTGATGTGGTATTAAGAAGGATATGGAGCTCCTGGAGAGAGTCCAAAGGAGGCCACAGAGATGATGGGAGGGCTGGAGCAGCTCTGGGACAGGCTGGGAGAGTTGGGGTGTTGAGCCTGGAGAAGAGAAGGCTCCAGGGAGACCTTAGAGCACCTTCCAGTGCCTGAAGGGGCTCCAGGAAAGCTGGGGAGGGACTTGGGACAAGGGCAGGGAGTGAGAGGACAAGGGGGGATGGATGAAAACTGGACGAGGGAGATTAAGGTGAGACATGAGGAGGAAATTATTTTTTGTGAGGGTGGTGAGAGCCTGGCCCAGGTTGCCCAGGGAAGCTGTGGCTCCCCCATCCCTGGCAGTGTTGAAGGGCAGGTTGGATGGGGCTTGGAGCAACCTGGGCTGGGGGGGGGGGTCCCTGCCCATGCAGGAGGTTGAATCTAGATTATTGTTAGGGTCCCTTCACACCCAATCCATTCTATGAGAAATGAATGGTGACTTTCAGGTGTAGCGAACACTCATGCTCTTGGCAGGTGGGGAATCCCTGCAGAGCCAACTCCTCAGCTTCTTCCCACTGGTGACCAAGAAGTTGCAATGGATGTAACAGCTCCCACAGCCTCAAGTGCCAGTCCATAGGTACTGGAGGACTAATAAATATATCTAATGTTTAATGTGCACTATTTGCCTTATACTGTGATGGTAGATAATGAAGCAGGATACATTTTGGTCATTAATAGATGGGACCCCTGAGGTTCAGCTCAAAATCCTCCTGTCCAGCTCCAGGGAAGAGCTGATACTGAGGTGTTTTGCTCAGAGCACGACAAACCCGTAGCAACCATTAAGAGAAGTAATGATTTTTCATTTTATTCCTCCTGAAAGAAGCACAACTTGCTACTGATGGAGCTCTCAGAAGTAGTCCATGAAAATTTGCCTGCATCTGGTTTGTTCACAGCCAGCTTGATTTCCTTCTGCTTGCTTGGGAATTGAGAAGATCATAGAATGGTTTTGGTTGGAGGAGACCTTAAACATGCAAGTAGCAATGTTGATGGCTGATTTACCAATGCATCATAAAACCCCCATATGCTCCTAAATACCATTATTTTAACATCTCCTTCTTCCCAAACCCCTCATGCATATCTGGAGTAACACAGAATCTTGGAATGGTTTGGGTAGGAAGGGACCATAAGATCATCTAGATCCAACCCCCTGCATGGGCAGGGACACCTCCCACCAGCCCAGGTTGCTCCAAGCCCCATCCAACCTGCCCTTGAGCACTTCAAGGGATGGGGCAGCCACAGCTTCCCTGGGCAACCTGTTCCAGTGCCTAAGATGTGGCAACTGTGCAGACTCCTCTTGAAGTTCATCAACCAGCGCTGCAGAAATGAACCTTTCCTGTGCAACTCGGTGACCTTGCCAGGCTGATGCCTGAGGCTGTTTTTGGTTTGGTTTTTTGACCCCAGGAGAAGAGCTTGGAAGTGAAATGTGGTTTTGTGAAGCTGCTTTTAATTGACTTACCCTGACAGAGTGTCCAGGTGGGAGAATGTGATGAAGGGAATTGGGGTAATGGGCCTCATGTCCGTGGCGCGACAACCGGATGATCTTTCCCACTTGGTTAATGAGAGTTCCCATCTTCTCAGAAGCACAGCAGAGAGGGGAGAGGAAGAACACAATGCCCAGAAATTACTGCATTTTCTTACGTTTTTAAGATAAATGGTGGGGTCTCCATCCTCCAGATTTCTGATGGAGCCTTTTGAGATGCTCTTGGAACGCTCCCTGGGCTCTTGCTGTCCAACACAGAGGCTGATGGACATCAAAGGGGAATCTCTGCAGGCCCTTCTGCAAGGAAGTCCCCCAGACACCCCCTTTATTTAAGAACAGGGCACCAAAAAGCCTTTGTCAGGGCATGTAACCAGCATTGCAGTAATGACCTCCCCAGCTGCACTGCAGCTCTAGTAAGTGAGCATCTTAATTGACAAATAACATCAGACATTTTAGGGCACGACCTCATCCTTTGTGACTGGTGCCCACAGAAAGTGGTTATTGTGGTGTGTTCACTCTTACACTTGTATTTCTTAACCTAAATTATTGGAATCTGTGCTGTTTTCTGCCTAGGCTTAATCAGAAACTTCCATGCAATTATATTCCATGGTTTTACAACCCTAATAAAATGTTTTATCCCTGTGCTGCTGCTGAAGGGACTGTGAGAGAGACAGAAGTGAAGTGATTTGCTCTGGCAAGGCAGTCAGAGAGCTGTAGGCAGACATGGACCACAGAAGTGAAATTACTGTGTCCAGATTTAAGTATCAACATCTGAGTTACTTGTCTAGACTTGCTTTATAGTCAGAGGAGAGAAATAAGAATGATTCATATCATCAGGAGCTAAAAGGCTAAAATAGGTCAGATGAAGAGAGCCTGGGAAGCATCTCCTCCTTCTGATTTATGGAGGGAGCTCAGGGTGATGGGCTCACCAGGAGACATCTTCAGTATTGACAGATAAAACTGCATGAGATGAATCTCTCCAGGTTGCTCTTCTAGCCAACACACAGGGTTTGGAGGTCGATTCACAGGTTTTCTTTTCTTGTACAGGAGAACTAAGGGAGGAAAAAGACACTCTGTGCTGTTGCTCGTGCATGGCTGCCTTCATTTGGGCTTTTGCTTCTCAGGGTGGGACTGGACCACCCAGCATTGGGTGTGCTGGTGGTGTGTCCCCTGATGTCACTGCTCAGTCTGGAGCAGGGTAGAAACAGGCTGTTTGCCTTCTCTGCTCAGGGAACTTCCCAGCATCCATGGGCCTGTAGCAGAAGGAAGCATCCTTAGATCTTCACCTCAAGGGCTCCACCTCTGGTCTGGGTCCATCTCACCTCATTTTGGATGCAAGCACACTCTAGCAGTCATTCTGAGCTCCTCTGGTACTTGAAGAAAATGATCTGACTTCTTGTAGCCTTTGCCTTGGATGAGCTGGATCCCACACTCGATCCCCTCTGTTGCCAGGAGGGCAGTTGAGGATGATGAGCTTGGCCATGGACGTGCTGCTCCTGGGGCTGGAACCTGGAGAAAATGAGAACCTGCTCAAGTGGTGCCTTTGGCACAGGCTTGCTCCTGTTTGCTGAGCTCTGGAAGTGCAACCCAAGGTGTTTCTCCCACCCACAGCTGGGATGTTGTGTGGGGCAAGCAGAGGCTCTGTTGAGCTGGGCTTTAAGCCCAGTCTGCAGGTCAGCATGAGGAGGAACCCTTTTTGTCTGCAGAGAATAAGCTGTTCTTTAGCCAGGAGGGCTCTGTCCTGCTCCTGGTCTGTGCTGTTGCACAGATGTTAACTGCAC